AGTAAATGAGTAAAAAATGATTTTAGCTGATGGTGGTAAGTAAAATAAAATTATAGTCGATGCGATCACCTATTTTAGTTGATTTTAAATACCAAACAACAAAAAAAAACAATAACTAAGACATTGATCAAAACTTCGAAGGCATATGACGTAAACAGCTTCTCAATATTTTGAAAAAACTTTGTTGACCAAGCACAGGTACTATTTGAGGTAGAGTTTGCAGTAAAACGTAGTCAGTTATTTGAATTTTCAGCCAAAATGGGCAAAGCTTTAAAAGAAATAGTTTTTGCAGGTGTTAAACCAAACAAATATGTTGGTTTTTTAAGATTGAACTTTATTTCTTGCTAACCTTTTTATATAATATTTTTTGTAGTTGGAAGGCATTGCAAAGAATTATTTGCAAATTTTGAAAAATGAATTTCGCTGAATAAAAACCCTAAAGATGATGAGAAAATTCCAACCCTATCAAAAGACATTTTATATATACAATAGCGTTGTTAAACCAAAAACGGCGATTTTATTTCAAGTTGTACACAATTAATAAATTAAAATTTCTTTTGTTACTTTTCTATTAGTATTTAATAATAATTAATTTTCATAATTTCATTATTTTTAGAAATATCAATAAATTTTAATTTATGATTTGGGAAACTTTATTTGGAGAATGGGATTTTTTTTACTTTTAAATTGGGAATTTTAATTTTATGAACATTTGGGATTACCGCGTTTGATGGGACCCCACAGGGCTAGTTTACACCCTGTAAGGTAGCTCCTAGATGGTGATCAGTTCAAGCAGACAATAAATGACCTAAAATTCACAGATTGGAAAGCCTTCCAAACTAAATGCAGAAACTACTGAAATGAAAATTATATGTAATTGTCAGAAACGGTAAACATAAATAAGTAAAAAGCTAGAATATAACAAACTTTAAACTACAGGCAATAAAAAACTAAAGGCAATAACAAACTTTAAACTACAGGCACTTATAAAGATAGCAAGGATGCATCCCTGACGAGCAATGCTAGCCATGTTTATCAGGCTCACCAAAACATCATTGGTGAATATATTGTGGCCCTGAGGATGGTGTTTCACCTAAATTAGTCCACTATTTAATTTTAATTGGATCTTACAAAACCAATAATTTTATTATCTTTCTACTTTCCCTAGTTGGTTTTTGTATGTGTATGTATGTATGTATGTATGTATGTATGTATGTATGTATGTATGTATGTATGTATGTATGTATGTATGTATGTATGTATGTATGTATGTATGTATGTATATATATATATATATATATATATATATATATATATATATATATATATATATATATATATATATATATATATATATATACATACATACATATATATATATATATATATATATATAAATATATATATATATATATATATATATATATATATATATATATATATATATATATATATATATATATATATATATATATATATATATATATATATGTAATATATGTAATATATATATATATATATATATATATATATATATATATATATATATATATATATATATATATATATATATATATATATATATATATATATATATCAGGCTTTCCCAGGAAAGGCGTGCGGTCGCACGCCTTGTTTGTCCACGCATAGAATAAATTTATCTGACTAACTGACCACGTTTTATTATTATGCGTTTTAAGAATTCGCGCCAAGACAAAATACCGCAAAAATGCAAGCAACCTTAAAGTAAATAACAGAAATCTGTTTGTGCTTTAAAATTAAAAAATTAATGTATGTTATTAAAAAAAAAACTTTACCTATATTTTATTTATTTATTTTTTTAGTGTGGTAGTTATTTAAGCTATGAAAAATTAAATCAATAAGAAAACTCAAATCAAAAAGAAAAAGAATAATGTTTAAAGAAAATAAAAGGACTTTTTAATGTAAAATTTGTTTATGACTTTTATCAGTCAGTAATACTTTAATATTCACGATAGAACTATAAACAATTTTTAAATGTTTCGTAAATATATTTAAATGCTTAAATGTATTGATTTTAATGTTTGAATGTATTGATACGCAAGAAAACACGAAAACGATTGCTATTTATTAGTAAAACATGTTTTTTTTTTTTTTTAATGAAAGAAAATTTTATTGTCAAACGATTGAGTTGCTTATTTTGCAATCATTAATTGACATTGTGAACGAGTGTTAATATATGATAATGTCCCGAAGGAACTGTTTTCGTAACAATGACAACAGAAGCAATGCTATTATTTTTTTAACTTCTTTCGTAATTACAAAATTATGCAATTGAATAATTTCAACGTTATAAAAGGCGAGCATTGGCTCAATATAATCAGTTAGGAATAAGTCGAGAAAGAACTTTTTTCACATTAAAACTTTGTTATGTTTAAAATCTTAGATAATATATTTAATAATTAAAACAGCAATTTATTTTCTTGTCTAAGTATTGGGGAATAAAGTCATTGCCTTTGCATAAACCTTCGTAAAAACTAAACTAAATGAAAAAGTTTAACCAAATTTGTCTAGCGTAAATAATAAATAAGTTTTTTAATACAATGTCTGATAAAGGTCGTGAATAAATTACGTATTAAGTCTTTTTATTTTCGTGAAAACTTTATGACTTATCGTCGTCTTTTCCTTGACTTGTATCAAATTTCGTAGCTGAAAATAGCGACCCTAATAAAAGAAAACAACAGTATAAAAATTTTGAAAAAAGTGTTCAAGACTTTTTTTTTTGTTACAAGAATTTTTTTTTTTTTAATTTTTTTTTATTATCAAAATATTTTTCTTACATCCAATTTCAATTTTATACTTTGTTTAGACTTCATTTCCTTTTTTTAATATTATTTTTTATTCTCTGTGGATAATTTCCGCTTTCTTACGAAATATTGCCGCGGTCACATTTTCTGAAAAATTTATTCTATGCGTGGACAAACACGTGCGACCGCACGCCTTTCCTGGGAAAGCCTGATATATATATATATATGTATATATATATATATATATATATATATATATATATATAATATATATATATATATATATATATATATATATATATATATATAAATATATGTATATATATATATATATGTATATATATATATATATATATATAAATATATATATATATATAAATATATATATATATATATATATATATATATATATATATATATATATATATATATATATATATATTTATATTTATATATATATATATTAGCCATTTTGAGAATATTTGAGTTTATGTACAAAACAAAAAAATTTTGTTTTACTGACATACATGGAAACATAAACAACTTAAATGGTCTTAAAACATCTTGGTGCGGAAAAATATAAAGAATATTCGCGAACACAAAAAATCCGCCAAATTAACGAACAAACTAATTCTATTGGTTCAAAAAATACGCAGACTAAGCGAAATAAAGTTTTAGACTATTCTATTGAAATGTTTTAGAATATGTAATATTCACGATTTGTTTTGAGATTTTAAACATAAATTGTTTTAAGAATATATTATCAATACAATGGCTTATTTTTTCGGAGCCACAAAACCATAAATCTTATAAACTATTATTATTTGTTTACAAAAATAAATGATTTAAATATATATTATTTAAATTGTCAAAACTTTGAAAGTTTATTACAAATTATAGATTTTATTAGTATAAATATTTTTTTTATTTAAAAAGTATCTATTCTTTATGTAAATGTAATTTTGTGTATCTGTTTTTTATCGTAATGTCTTTTAAAGCAATTTTTATGATTTAATTTGTAAACAAAGACTTACAAAAAAACTTGCGTTTTCAATGAAGTTAATAATAATCATTAAAGTTAATAAAACTAATTATGTAACGAATATAGAGGAGGTTTCTGATAACTAAACACAAATAACGCATATAAAGTAACTCGCGGATTAACAAACACCGCGCCTACAGTTACAACAGAACACAAATATATATACATATATAACAAATTATTAGATATAAAGTAAAGTTTCTTTTCTCTTTTTGAGGTTGGCATCAGGTTGGCAAAAATTATTTGATACAAAGGTTTGACCATAAAACATAGAAACAAGGTCAGCAATATTTGCTGACCTCAAACACTTTTAGGTCGGCAGTTAGGTCGGCATTGTCGAATGCACAAAGCGTTTGTGTGTATGTGTATTTGTATGTGTATGGGTATTGATGCACATTTTTGCATTTTGTTTAAAAAAACTAGACGAATAAGAATTCACAAGGTCACAACACAAGGTAATTTTTTATTAACTTATAAATTGCAATACAATTATTAATAAAACTATTTCAGGTCACGACAAAAAGTAAAGAAATGTTATTTTATTGATCAATTATCTGGTTTCAATAATTATTGCAAATATAAAATATTTCATATCTAATTATAAATGTTAAACAATAAGAAAACCAACTAATAACTGATAAGAATATGTTTCATTGTGGTTGGCTATTGAACTAAAAAGTTAATTGTGGTTAGCCACTAGTGCAAAGTTGTGATGTTGCTTCTATAAATTATAACTGACTTGGTAAATTCACTTAACTTAGATAAACATAACAACGATAAAACAAGCTAACATATAAAAATGCAACTGAATGAAGTTAAACAAGTATTTAATGGTAAGTAGTTAACATAAAAATAGATACTTATTGAAAAATTATTTAACTTTAAATTTTATAGAAGTTACAAAGAAGAAAAATTTATTATTTTATTTAGAAAGAATATAAAAAAAAGTTAGATGTATATTATTCGAACAACGCTTAAAAAAATACATAAAAAAAATTCTAAAATTAATCTTTTAATAAGATTTTTATACTAATAAGATACTATTAAAAAAATAAAGTAAATGAATAATTATAATAAACATAATTAAAAAAATATAACAAAAAATAATAATATTAAAAAAAAGAATATAGTAAATGATCAGTAAATTTAGATAAACTAAATATTAAAGTTACCTTTATTGGCAGAGAATCCTGAAGGTATTTCTGGTGAATTTGCAGTGTCTAAATAATATAAAAAAGTTCTCTTTACAAACAAAAAACTTTCAAATTAAGTTTAGATGTGGAGCTAATCCAAATAAGTCTTTAATTTATGTAAACTTTTTTTTCTCGTTTTAATGTAACAAATCATTTCTTTATAATTTTTTCAGCTTTTAATTGTTTCCCAATTTGTAGGTTAGAGGTTTAGTTATTTGTTTTGCCTAGTAGCAGTGATTTGTTTTGCCAAGTAGCAGTGTTTTTGTCAAGTTTGGTGTTTTGAAGGTAAAGGGTTGAAAGAGGGTTGTAACTGCAATGACACAAAAGTCATTGTATGCTAATCTTTAACTTGTTAAAATTATGTGTAACAATTATGAGGGTGAAATTACTGCAAATAAAGGCGTTGGGTGACACTTTTTCAAAAAAGTAACAGTCAGTTTTGTAAAATATTTAAAAACTTAGAATAGCAAAGTGTCTAATTTGCTTCTAGTTAGATAGAAAAAGTGTGATATTTTCATGCACAAAAGGGCAACTTGGCAACAGGCAAACATGTCAGACATAAGTCAAAGAAAATGCACCTAATGCACTTGCCTAACGGCCAGGGAATTTATTCAATACAAACTTCATCAATAGTTTGCTTAGTAAAACAATAAACAGAAGTTTCTAAACAAAAACCAACATTGCTAGCAGAACTGAGAAAAGCCATAATAAAAGTGAATATACAACTTCTTTTAAACAGTAATATTATTATTTTATCTTCAGGTACATTATTTTTAAATTAAAATGTTTTATAGTATTAAATACATTCACATATAACATGAATCTTGACAAACAAGGCCACTGTGTGGAGAATTAAGTAAAGCATGGCGGTACCAAGGACAAAAATTTATGAAGAAAAAAGATTTATAAAGAGTTTTTTTACATAAAAAAAAAGAACATTGGCTATTATATACTCTGTAATTTAGTTTTAGTTGAAAAATTAAAACATTATTTTCACTTTTTCTCGCCTGGTTGCTTTCTGGTTGCTGTAAAGTTAGTATACTACTATGAAAATTTTATTTTAAAATATTGACAGTTATGTTGATTCATGCTAAATTTGTTTATTTGGATAAGGATCCAAAATTTTGTTCATAATATTATTTAAAATATATCATCATAAACAAGTTTTTATTTTTTTATTTTTAGCTGGTTATATTTGAAGTTGTTTTTTTTTCCTTTTACTTAACAGAACAAAAGTAGGATATATATAAGAAAGGCATTAATTTACAATTATCTTTTTTAAATTTAAATATAAGATAGAGAATAATTTACAATTATCTACACATTTAATAAAAATTAGGAGCTATTAAAATCGAAAATCAAAAATACAATTTTATTTTTGTGATTAAATACAAAATAATACAAACAAATTTTATATGCTCATTTTTAATAACAAAATTTTTGGTATATTAAAAATTATGTAGTGCATATAATAACTTGTTAAATTCTGCATCTTTTATTAATTAAGTCATAAAAATATTAGCCAAAACAAATGCAACCCTATGTTTCATAATTAAATAGTTTAAAGAGTGCAGGAACAATCAACAACAACAACAACAAAAAAAGAGTACATTCTTGACTATTGACTCCCATCAGCCTTGGCAAGAGAAATACAAAAAATATGCACATGTAAAAGTGCTAGCTAATTATGTTATTAGTTTGGCAGTGATTATATTTTTACTAATATATAGAACCATTGTTTGCGAAAGGTTCTTTTATTCTAGGTTTGTGTAGTTTTACTCAGAAAACTTGACAAAACATGAAATTTTTTGACTTGGTGTCTGATGAAAACAAATTTAACTAAATTAAAGTCTAAGTGTAAGAAAATTTCTTAAACTTCTATACCTAATCAGCTACATAGATCAGCTTTAGTAAATTAGGAGACAGGTTTTTTTTTTTTTTTCAATCATTTGACTTTTAATTAAAATTAATTTAAACTAATTAAAGTTTTTGATAATTCCTAACTGATATTTTAAATCATTTTGAAAAAAAAAAAAAATACAAACTAAATTTAATTTAATTTTTATGTTTTGTTAAAGATGCTACTTATATAAAAAAAAAAGAAATACATAAACAAAACAATTGTAATTAGAAAAATATGTTATTCGTTATATTAAATACAACTAAACAATAATTACTTGTGAATTCATCTACCATTCTTACTAGATCCATTCTTTTCATTTCTTTTAAAGCTGTTTTCAACTCATCAAGTGTTGGATTGCAATTCATTTGTAACCATTTAGTTAGCATTGAATATGCTTTCTCACCACTTTTACTATTATCTTTATCAATCATGTCTAAATAGTTTTCTTCAATATTTAACCAACGTCCAAGAGTTCTCCAATCTACTCCAACACAATCACTATACTTTAATTTAAACGCTTGGTTAAAAACAGTGGTGTCATCATTTTTGAGAGATGTAAAAAGTTGACTCATTTTGATGTTTCTACAAAAAAATACAAGATTTATGAAACCAGGATATATAAAATATACATACAAATACATATGTAAATGCATACATATTTATAAATATATGGATAACATTCAGGTATATATATATATATATATATATATATATATATATATATATAATTAATATAAATTACTATGTTTATATATTAACTATATATATATATATATATATATATATATATATATATATATATATATATATATATATATATATATATATATATATATATATATATATATATATATATATATATATATATATATATAGGATATATATATATATATATATATATATATATATATATATATATATATATATATATATATATATATATATATATATATAAATAAATATATATATATATATATATATATATATATATATATATATATATATATATATATATATATATATATATATATATATATATATATATATATATATATATATATATATATATGTATATATATAAATATATATGATTAATATATAAATAAATATTTTTAATATACTTGTTCTTATAGCCTACTTTCATGATTATTTGATGATTTTTATTTTTTTAACTTTATATGAGTCTTCACATTATGAAAATTTTGTTTTTTAAGAAAAAGTGTTTAACCTAATTTTTTAAAGTGCTCAACCTTTTGCTCCCATATAAAAAAGATGAAATTTTTAAAAAGCAGATTATTTCACAATCACAGATTGTTATTGGACGTTAAAACAATATCACACACCCTTTTTATTCAAAGCCATGTTACTTCTCAAGTTACACTTTTGCTGTGATTTTGTCGGACATTCTATTTGTAAATTCTGGTTAAATACAAAAAAATTAATCTGTAATTATTACTTTTCGGTTCTTGATAGTGTAACTTAAATTAAATAATATGTTCAAAATTTGTATTTTTTAACGATAATACGAAAGATGTGTTATTTTTTCAAAAAAGGGGGCAAAAAAGTAAACTTTAATGTTGTTATATACCTCCTTTCTTCAAAATTATCTTTTTATTCGAAATGTCAATTATATTATTGCGACAGAATACGAACTTTGTTCGTATAACTTTATTTGGGTTACAACTTTAGTTGATTTTTTTTAGTTTTTTTTTTTTTTTTTTTATTTGAGTTATTTTAATTGGTTTTCAATAATTAGGGTAGACGATATTTCGCCTATATCCTTTTTTTCCGTTAGCTTTAGGAAGTAATACGAGAAAAGAATAGGAATAGGAAGTATAGGAATAGGAAGAATAGGAAGTAACACGAGAAAACTTTGGTTATTGCGTTTATGCATTTTAAAACCCACTATAGATGAGTTTCCGTGCGACGTCACGTCTTTTTGTGAACAACATGCGCGCGCATACTTATAGGTTGAAAAAATAAAAACGCAAGAACGTAATTGGGTTTCTTGTATATTTTTCTACCCTAAAATCAATATTTGTACCCTAAAATTAATTTTTTCTTTAAAAAATTATTAAAAGAATAATAATTAAAACTAATTACAAATATTTCATATAAATTTTGGTGGTAAAAGTTTTTATTGTTATTAAAAACTTTTGTTTAAAAAATTTTAAAACAGATGTTCTTGTTCAAATTTTAAACTCATTTTGAGTTTAAATATAGCTGTTGCTCTTGCGATTTTTCTTACAAGTTTTTTCTGTTTTTGGAAGTCAACAATAACACTTAACTTTTTAAAATAGTTAACAATATGATGAGTGAATATTTTAAAAGTCTAAAATTAGAAGAAGCAATAGACTACACAAAGAAGTTAACTCTTAAAAATGGGGAAGTATTACCGGATCCGTTTATAATTGAACCAAAAGAATGGAGCAACGATCTCAATCATTTGCCATTACATGGCAAGACGTTACTCAATATTTAATCGATACACCTAGCATATACACGAAGGAATCAATCAGAGCCTATAAATCCTTGGAAGCATTTGATTACTTCACTTGTGGTCATGTTCAAGAATGTTTTTAAAATAAAATATCGAATAGGAGCAAATTCTGTTTTATAAAATCAAAGGTTATTTTTAATATATAATTAAAAAATAAATTTTTACTACAGACGAATAAATAATAATTTTTATATAGAAATAATCTTTTTGTAATAGGTCTTGCCAAGTCAAAGACAAAACAACAAAAATATGTATAATGTATGGACTTGTCTTGAGAAAGAACTTGGTTGGGTACTAACTGCTAATTGTTCATGTATGGCTGGACTAGGATCAGCTTGTAGCCATGTAGCAGCATTATTATTTAAATTAGAAGCAGCTTCACGTTTAAAATTACACGAAACACCTCCTACAAGTATCTTGTGTACTTGGAAGAAATGCAAAAAATCTGTTCAGCCTGCTTCATTGCAGCTCATAAATTTTCAGCAACCTCAAAAAATCTTTTACAAAAAGATTTGGTTGCAAAGCTACCTTTAAAAAAATACTTTTCCAACAATAATCCAATGGATGGTGAGCACCGGTTAACAGCTCAAGAGATGGAAAAACTTTTCAAAATTAACCTAAAATCTGCAATTTTTACAAGTATTAATCTTACAGAATTTATGTCTGTTGAATATGACTCTAGTGCTACTGAAACTTTATCTGAGACAGAAGAGACAACACTTCCTGAAACTCTCACATCATTATATGATCCAACAAGTATAAATTTATCTGAGGATAAGTTGATCATTTTTTGCCAAAGTATATATAACGATTATAAAAATGATAATAATCAAAGGCAGTATAATAACTTTTGCAACCAAACAAAAACACAATAATTGAATCATGTTTGGATGATGCACCGTGCAGGGCGTATAACAGCTTCAAATGCAAAAGAAGTATACAATTCTAACACAAACTATATGTCAAGTGAATCATTGGTTAAAAAAATTATGCATTATGCAAAAAGTTCTGTTAATAAGTACACACAATATGGAACAGAAACGGAACATGTTGCACGAAAATATTATATTGAAAAAGTTAAATATAGTCATATAAATTTCCAATTTTTAGATACCGGTTTTCATGTGAGAGAACAATACCCCTTCATTGGAGCTTCTCCAGATGCACTGATAAGATGCAGTTGTCATCAAACTAACATTTTAGAGATCAAATGTCCTTATAAATATCAAAATGGCTTTGAAGGATGGGAAGAAGATAAAGATTTTCCAATCAATAAAGATCTCATTATAAAAAAGGATCACAAATATTATTACCAAATTCAATTACAACTACATGTATTTCTCTGTTCTGAGGCTGATTTTCTTGTATTCTCTTGTAAAAAGTTTTATTTTAACAATTGAAAAAGATACAGATCTTATTCTCAAAATGATTGAAAAGTTTTTATGTACTTCAAAAACATTTTATTGCCAGAGCTTGTAACACGTCGTAATGATAAATCGACAATAAATAGCAGGAAAGTTTACTGTATATGCTAAAGACCAAGTTTTGGAAAAATGATACCATGCAATTTTACCAACTGCAAATATGAATGATTTCATTACGCTTGTGTTGGACTGAAAAGAGCTCCAAAAACTACTAATTGGTTATGCAAAGAATGTAAAACCAAGCAATAAACCAGAACAAATATTACTTTCCTTTAATAGGCAAATTGAGTGTGCATACATTGGCTGAGGGTTTGGGTTTGGGCAGGTTGTCTTTAACTAAATGAATCATCCTTTTCATGTTTGCAAACTTATAGGAGACCGTCGGTTTGATAAGAGAGCTTACGAAGAAAAACATCGATTTAAAAAAAAAAAACTTCTTTTACTGGACAAAAAAAAAAAAAAAATTGACTGAAATGATTTTTATTAAAACATTAAAAAAATAATTATTCAAAGGATACGCTACATAGTTTTAAAGGGACGACTTAATAAGCGCGAATTTCATAAGTGCAAACTGGCAAAGTGCGAATGGCGTAAGTGCGATCTGGCATAAGCGCGATTTGGCATAAGTGCGCCAAAAGATTTTGCAAACACTAGCATAAGTGCAAATTGGAATAAGTGCAAAGCAGTTGCATAAACTGGCACAAGTGCGAACAGACGTTTGTGCCAATTGGCATAAGTGCGCCTAACAAATTTGCAAACATTGGCATAAGTGCAATCTGGCAAAAGTGCGAAAAAATAATTTGTACTTATGCCAATATTTGCAATTTAATTCTGCACAATTATGCTTATTCACACTTATGCCAGTTTTTGTAACTGCTTTGCACTTATGCCAGTTCGCACTTATGCTAAGTCGGACTTATGCTAATATTTGCAAATTTATTTAGCGCACTTATGCCAATTCGCAGGTATGCCAGTTCGCACTTATGCCACGCTTCGCACTTATGCCAGTTTGCACATAAGCCAATTCGCGCCTATATAGCCTCCAGGTTTTAACCATTAGTTATTGTAATTATTTAACATAAAGCTGAGTATAACTTAATAATTAAATAGAATCACTTTATTTTAAAAATCAAATGTTACTTTAAGTTTCTTCTATGGTTTCGAATCATGACACGACATTTTATTAAACAATTTTAAAAACCAATAATAATAAAAAAAAAATTGCTTTCTGAATTACTTTAGGCATAAAGTTTCATTAATTGTATAATACTTGCAAATTTATTTGGCAAATTCGCACTTAAGCCAATACTTGCAAATTTATTTTGTGCACTTATGCCAATTCGCAGTTATGCCAGTTCGCACATATGCTGATTCGCGCCATACGTTGACGCTATTTTACTAAAATGCTATATTTTTAAAATATTATGAACGCACCTATTTGCGTCAACGTATGAAAATTATGCCGATTTCTTTTTGAGTATGCCGATTTTTTTTTATAAATGTTCCAAGCATATTCCCGAGCCATTTCAATGCTGTTGAAGTTCCATCTGTTTTACATTTTCATAATGCACCACACCAGTAATGGATCTATGACTTTATGGTGTTTGAGTTAGCTAACATCCAGACATGGAGCAAACTCCAAACGTTTGTATATTTAT